TTTTGCCAGATATATGGTTTGTACTTTCCCTAGGCTATAGCTTATGTTTTCATCCTCTTAACAAGCTCTTTCGTGGAGGAACAAAGGCATTTGTTTTTAATCAATTTTCCTTTTATGGATTGTTATTTTGGTATCAAGTCTAGGAATCCTTTGATTAGTCCAGATCCTGAAGATTTTCTTCTGTCTTTTTGTCTAAAAGCCATTTATTTTTACATTTTACATTGAAATCTATGATCCATTTTGAGTAAATTTTTGTATAAGGTGTGAAGTTTAGGCCAAGGTTCATTGTTTTGTCTATGGATGTGTAATTGCTCCAACATCATCTGTTGAAAAATCTGTTCTTCCTCCATTGGATTGCTTTTGTACCTTCGTCATACACCAGTTGAGCATGCTTGTGTAGGCCTCTTTCTGTGCTCTCAGTTCTGTCCCATCGGTCCGTGTGTCCATCCCTCCACCAGCACCATGCTCCCTTCATCACTGCAGCTGTGGACTGAGCCTTCATAGCAGTACAGTGACTCCTCCCACTTTGTTCCCTTTGTTAAAACTGAGCTAGCTAATTGTATTCGTTCTCCAGGACTGCCATAACAAATACTGCAAACTTGGTGGCTTACACAACATAAATGTGCTGTCTCACAATTCCAGAGTCCACAAGTCTGAGATCAAGGTGTTGGCAGGGCAGGTTCCTTCTGAGGGTTGGGAGAGAGAATCTGTTCCAGGCCTGTCTCCTTGGCTGGTAGATGGTGGTCTTTCTCTCCCTGCATGTGTGCCTGTCTTCAAATTTCCTGTTTTTATAAGGACATCAGACACATTGGATTAAGGCCCATCCTAATAACCTTAATTTAACTTGATTGCCTCTGTAAAGACCCTGTCTCCTAATAAGGTCACATGCTGAAGTACTGGGAATTAAGATGTCAACATACTAATTTGGGAGAACACAATTCAATGCATAACTACACTTTAACGCCTGTGCATTTCCATATACATTTTATAATGAGTTCTCTATGTCTACCAAAAACCTTGGGATTTTGATAGGAATTGCATTAAACCTACAGATCAATTTGGGAGAACGGAATTCTTTATCATGTTGAGTATTCCAGTTCATGAACATGGTATGACTCTCCACTTATTTAGGTCTTCTTTGATTTCTTTCATCAACATTTTATAATTGCCAGCATTTAAAATCCTGTACTTTTTTTCTTACACTTATACCTATGTATTTCTTTTTTTTTTTTTTTGGAATGAGTGTGAATGGTATTGTGGTTTTAGTTTCAATTTTCAAATGCTCATTGTTAGCATACAGAAACACAAATTGACTTTTGTATGTTGACCTTTTACCTTTTAACCTTGCTGAACTCACTACTTCTATTAGTTTTTGTTTCATTTTGTTTTGTTTTTTTGTAGGTTCCTTTGGAGTTTCTACATAGACAATCATGTCATCTTCAAATAGGGACAGTTTCATTTCTTCCTTTACAATCTGTATGCCTTTTTATTCCCTCACCAGTGGCTAGAACATCCAATACTATGTAAAATAACAGTGATGATGCAAACAACTTTTCCTTGTTGCCAAACTTATGGAAAACAGTCAGTGTTTCATCATTAAGTGTTAGATGTAGGTTTTTTGCAGATGTTCTCTAGCAAATTGAGGGAATTCCCTTCCATTCTTAGTTTGCTGTAGTTTTCTCTTTTTTTTTCCATGAATTGTTGTTGGATTTTCTCAAAATCTTTCTCTGCATCAATTGATATGATCATATGATTTTTCTTCTGTATCTTGTTAGTATGGTGGAGTGTATTGATTGACTATGAAATATTGAACCAGCCTTAATTTCCTGGAGTAAATTCCACTTGGCCATAGTGTAACTTGTTTACATTGCTGGATTTGATCTGCTTATGTTTTGTTGAGGATTTTTAAATCTAAGTTCATGAGACATACTGGTCTGTAGTTACCTTTTTTTTGTATTCCCTTTGTCTAGTATTGATATCAGGGTAATGTTGGCCTCATAAAATGAGTTGAGAAATGTTCTGTCATCTTTTGTTTTCTGAAAAGAAATTGTGAGAAATGGTGATAATTCTTCATTAAATGTTTGCTAGAATTTTCCAGTGAAACCATTTTGGCCAGAGGATTTGTTTTTTAGGAGATTTTAGATTACCAATTCATTTATTTAATGGTTATAGGACTATTCAATTTGTCTCATTCAACTTGGTTAAATTTTGGTCACTTGTGGTATTTGAGGAACTTGTGTATTTCTTCCTCTAAGTTATCAAATTTATAGGCATAAAGTTGTTTACAGTGTCCCCTTATGTTTTAAATGGCTACAGAGTCTCTTGTGATATTCCCCATGTTATTCTTGGTATTGATGATTTTAGTCTTCTTTCTGTTTATCTTAGTTTCACTAGAAGATCACCTACTCTAATAATTTTTTAATTGATTTTATGCATTTTCTCCTCCCAATTGCATCAATTTCTACTCTAATCTTTATTATTTCTTTTCTTCAGATTGTGTTGGAGATATTCTGCTCTTCTTTTTCTGATTTGTTGAGGTACAAACATTGTCTTAGTCTGTTCAGGCTGCTATAATGAAAATACCATGCATAGAGTAGATGAAACAACAAACATATTTTTCACAGTTCCAAAGGCTGGAAAGTCTAAGATCAAGGTGGATTTGTTGTGTAGCAAGAGCTCACATCCTTATTCACAGAATGCCAACTTCTCATTGTATCCTCACTTAATGGAAAGAGGTGAGAGAACTTTCTGTGTTTTCTTTTATAAGGGCACTAGTCCCTTTCATGAGGACTCTACCCTTGTGACCTAATCACTTCCCAAAGTTCTTATGCTGTAATACCATCACATTGGGAGTTAGTATTTCAACATACAAATTTGTGGGGGGGACACAAACATTCAGTCCATAACAAATGTAGATTATTATTTTGGGAACTTTTCCCATTTTAATGGAAGCATTTAATTCTGTAGATCACTTTATTAAATGCTTCCATTAAAATGGGAAAAGTTTTCAACATAATAATTAATGCAATCCCTATCAAAATTCTACCCTCATTCTTTACAGATTTAGAAAAAATAATTCTACACTTCATCTGGAACCAGAGAAGACTTTGTATAGCCAAAGCAATCTTAGGCACAAAGAAAAACTTGGGAGGCATCAGTCTGCCAGAGTTCAGTCTTTACTATAAGGCTATAGTAACCAAAACAGCATAGTATTGGCACAAGAACAGAGATGCAGACCTTTGGAACAGGGCAGAGATCCCAGATATAAAACCATCCTCATATTGTCATCTAATCTTCTACAAAGCATACAAAAGTATACATTGGGGAAAAGAATCTCTATTCAATAAATGGTGATGGGAAAACTGGATATCAACATGCAAAAGATTGAAATGGATCTCCACCTCTCATCTCTCACAAAAATCAACTCATGTTGGATAACAGATTTAAACCTAAGGTGTGAAACTTTAAGAACTCTGAAAGAAAATGTTGGAAAGACTCTTTTAGACATTGGCCTAGGTAAAGAATTTATGAAGAAGACCCCCAAAGCAAGCACAAAAGCAACAAAAATAAACAAATGGGACCTGATCACATTAAAAAGCTTCTGCACAGCCAAGGAAACTGTCCATAGAGTGAATAAACAAGCTGAAGAATGGGAGAAAATATATGCTTTCTACACATCTGATAAAGAACTGATAACAAGAAACTACATAGAACTTAAAATCAACAAGAAAAAAATCAAACAACCCTATCAATAAACAGGCAAAGGACATGAACAGAAACTTTTCAAAAGAAGACAGACTAATGGCCAGCAAACATCTAAAAAAGTGCTCAACATCTGTAATCATTAGGAAAATGTAAATCAAAACTACAATGAGATATCACCTAACTCCAATGGCCTCTTTCAAAAAATCCCAAAATAACAAATGCTGGCAAGGATGTGGAGAGATTGGAACACTCTTACACTGCTGGTGGGACTGAAAATTAGTACAACCCCTGTGGAAAGTAATTTGGAGATACCTTAAAGAGCTAAAAATAGAAATACCATTTGATCCAGCAATCCCACTACTAGGCATCTATCCAAAGGAAAAGAAAGACATTCTATAATAAAGACATCTGCATTCGAATGTTTATAGTATCACAACTTACAATTGCAAAGATGTGGAAACAACCCAAATGCCCATCAATACATGAGTGGACTAATAAAATGTGATATATGTATACCATGGAATACTACTCAACTACAAAAAACAATGGTGATCTAGCACCTCTTACATTATCCTGGATAGAGATTGAGCCCATCCTTCAAAATGAGGTATCACAAGAATGAAAAAATATGCACCACATGTACTTGCCATCAAACTGGTACTAATTGATCAACACTAAGGTGCTCACATGGTAGTAATACTTACTGGGTGGTGGTCAGGCGGAGGGGGAGGGTAGGGGTAGAGCAGGTGGGGTGGGTCAACCCACAGCTAATGGAGATGGGGCACACTATATGAGAGAAAGACACACTTGTGGCCCTGGCTTGAGGGAGGCAAATGCATTTCATGTAACCAAAATGTTTGTATTTCCATAATATCCTGAATTTAAAAAATAAAAAATAATAATGTTAGCATTTAGTGCTATAAATTTCCCTCTTGGTATGGCTTTTGCTGCATCTCACAAATTTTAATATGCTTTTTATATTTTACTCAGTTATATTTATTATTGAATTTTCTTTGATATCCTTTTTTTGTCCTATGAGTTATTTGGAAACGTGTTGTTTACTTTTCAAGTGTTTGGAGATGTTCCTTTTGTCTTTATTGATTTCTAAGTATAATCAATATGGTCAAAGAACATTCCTCATATGATTTCAATTCTTTTAAATTTGTTAAGGTTTGTTTTATGACCCAGAATATAGTCTATCTTGGTAAATGTCCTACAGCCATTTGAAAGAAATCTGTATTCTTTTGTTGTTCAGTTGAGTATTCTATGTTCTATCAGTTGCTAAGAGTCAGGTGTTGAAGTCCCAACCAAAATCATGGATTTTTCTCTTTCTCCTTTCAGCTTTGTCAGTTTTTGCTTCATGTACTTTGAAGGTCTGTCGTTTAGTGCATAAACATTTAGGATTCCTATATCTTCCTAATGGATTGATGCTTCTATCATTATGTCTCTGTTTTGCCTCAGTAATTTTCTTTGCTCTTTGACTTTATGTAGTATTAATGTAGCTAATCATCCTTTTTATAAAATGAATGCTTGCAATGAAATAATCTTGTTCCATCTGTTTACTTTCACCTATGTCATTATTTGAAGTGAGCTAGCTTCCTTCCTTCCTTCCTTCCTTCTTTCTTGCCTCTCTCATTCCCTTCTCCTTCCTCCTTTTCTCTCTCTCTCTCCTCCATACTCTCTCCTCTCGTTTCTCTCTCTCTCTCTTCCTTCTCTTACCTCTTCTCTTCCTCTTCTCGTCTATCACCTGCGTTTCTCCTCTCTCGTTTAGAGATGGGTATTACTGTGTTGCTCCGACGGGAGGCAGATGAGCTATTCACGGCTGATCATAGCACCATATAAGGCTCTAACTCCTGGGACTCAAGGCGATCTCTCTCACACTCAGTTACCTGTCTGAGCAACTAGATACAGGTGCACTTTTGCATATTATGCCTGGCATCGTGAAATGGTTTTGATGGCTTTGTCGTCAATATTTATGCACACTGCCATCTGTCTTTATTATGTATTAGATCTTACTATATTAATCATTACTGACACACTACAGCTTAGTCTGTTTTTAGTTATTTTGCTATTTGCCCTTGTTTTTTATTTCTCATTTTCGTATTTTCTTGCCTTCCAGTACGGGTTACTTTAATTTATTGAGACTTCATTTTTGATTACTTGGTAATAGTCTTTGAGTATAGACTCCATATTATTTTCTTGGTGGGCTGTTTAGGCATCATATAGGCATATCGTACATTTGTATTATATCCAATTAATGTAGATGTTTGACCCACCTGAGCGAATGTCGATAATCTTACTTCCGCTTAGAACTTCCTTAGGATCCAATTTTTCAAAATATAATGTACCTATTATTTTCCTCATTGCAAATATTAGCACCAATCTGAGGTGAGTTTAACTTTGTTTACCACAGTACAATTGATTACAGGAAACTCCTAAATGTGTGAAGAGACTTTACTTTATTTTACCTACTTATTTTTACCTTATTCATACTTATTTTTCCCATATCACGTTTGTTTTTTATCTATTCTTTGTTATTCTTCCCTTCTGAAGGTTCGCAGTTTTCTTATGTTACTATTCTTTACTCAGCGAAATTTTAAAGAGTAGGCAATTGCGTAAGAATCAAATGTCTCTTAGTGTTCAAGTAACTCTCAGAATGTCTTGTTTCCTCCTTCACTCCATGAAGGATAGTTTCACCAAATATAGGATTGAGGTACTAACAGTTTCTTTCTTCTCAGTACTTGGAATTTGTACACCACTCCTTTAAACCCTATGGTTGTTCGATGAGTGAATTCGCTGTATTTGAATTGGTGCTCTTATGTGCCCATTTCTCTTACTTTTAAAAAGTATATTTTTGTGTCATTTTCTAAGTTTAACTCTGATGTGTCTTGGTTGGCTGGATTCTTTGAGCGTTTACAACTATTTGGAGATTCAGTGCTCTTCAGTTGCATGGTTTACACCTTTCATGTGGCTTGCCTTTTATTCATATTAGAAAACTTACAAATGAGAAGAATGTTTATTTTGGTGAAGTTCCAGTTTGTCAATTTTTATGTTTTGTTCTTTTGTTGTTTAGTCTAAGAAACTCTTTGCTATACAAGTTGTGAAGATTTTTCGTCCTGTGTGTTTTGTTCTAGAAAATGTGATTTGTTTTGACCATTTAAGTTTAGGGCCTCTGTATTCTTGTGGCCTAATTTTTGTGTGATTGGTATTGAGGTTAAGAGTCAAATTCAATGTTTTACCCCCAGGCATATCTAGTTTTTCCAGCACCATTTGTTGAAAAGAGTTTTCTTATCACATATTGAAATGCCCTGACTACCTTCATTGAGTCAACTGACCTGCCTGGCGGTGTGGTGGCCTCACGTCCTGTAATCCTAGCACTCTGGAGGGCCAATGGGGTGGATCTCACCAAAGGCAGGAGTTCCAACCAGCCTGAGCAAGAGCAAGGACGCCCATCTACAATGTAAATATAGACAAATGAATTGGCCAACTAAATGATATATAGAAAAAATTAGCGGGCTATGGTGGCGCTATGCCTGTAGTCCTAGTACTTGGAGGCTGAGGCAGAAGGATTGCTTGAGCCAGGAGTGTGAGGTTGCTGTGACCTAAGCTGATTAAGCTGATGCCACAAGCACTTAGCTCAGGTCAACAGGAGTGAGGACTATGTCTCAAAAAAAAAAAAAAAAAAAATGAAAAAAAAAAATCAATTGGCCATATACATGCAGATTAATTTCTGAATATTCCATTCAGTTCCATTTTTATTTACTACATTGTTTTGTTTATTTAGCTAATAATAAGTCTGTGTAACATTATAAAATCAAGCAGTATAGTGCTCTAATTCTGTTATTCTTTCTAAAAGTTGTTTTGGATGTTCTAGGTCCTTTGCATTTATATGTCAATTTCTGACAAAAATATTGCTAAGATTGGAACTGCAATTCAGTTTGGGAAAAATCAAAATCTTAAAATATTGATTTTTTCAACTGATAAACACAAATTAATCTCTTCTTTTATTTAAATCTTCTTTAATTTCTCTCAGCAGTTTTGGTAGTTTTTAGTATATTAGTCTTGTAAATATTTCTGTTAAATTTATCCCTCAGTATTTCATGTTTTTTTATCCTATTGTTAAAAGACCAGTGGAACAGAACAGAGAACCCAGATATAAAACCATTCTCATATAGCCTACTAATCTTTGACAAAGCAGACAAAAACATACACTGGGGAAAAGAATCCTTATTCAGTAAATGGTGCTGGGAAAACTGGATAGCCACATGTAGAAGACTGAAACAAGACCCACACCTTTCACCACTCACAAAAACCAACTCATGCTGGGTAACAGACTTGAACCTTAGGTGTGAAACTATTAGAATTCTAGAGGAAAATGTTGGAAATACCCTTCTAGACATTGGCCTAGGCAAAGAATTTATGAAGAAGACCCCAAAGGCAATCACAACAGCAACAAAAATAAACAAATGAGACCTGATCAAATTAAAAAGCTTCTGCACAGCCAAAGAAACTGTCAAGAGAGCAAAC